CAGGGCGCGGCGGCCTGAGTCCCCGCCTGCCCGTCGCCCCCGCGGGCGGCCTCGCTACCTCCGCTGATCCTACCTGCCAGCGCAGCCTGCGCCCGGCGCCCGAGCCAGCCCGCACAGCTCCCCTCTCCGCCCCGCGCCGCGCGGCCCGCCTCCCGCACGCCCAGGACCACCTGACAAGGGCCTGGCTCCGCCCCAGCCCTGCGGACCCGAGGGGGCGGATCCTCGAGTCAGACACGCCCCCTCGCTAGTATGCCCTTCCCATTGGCCACGGAAGGGGGGTTCTTCTCTAAGGCTCCGCTCCCAAATCGCCCCGCCCCTTTTGCGGACTCCTCATTCTCGGGACTGGGCCCCCACAAACTCTAGCTAGCACGCCCTCCCATTGGTTGCGGCTGCCGGTGTTCAGGTTCCTATCCCAGACCACGCCCCCTCCCTCGCCCCGCCCCCTCTGCGGACTGCTTGAAGCCCAGGTCGACCCGTCGCCCTCTCTCATTGGCCCGCCGCAGCTGCCGCCATTGGTCCTCTGCACCTGTCCGTTTCCTGGGGTTCCACACCTCGCAGCTGCCAGAGGCTGAGGCCTCGTGGGGTGCGTGGGGAGGGGAGGGTGGATCCCGGGAGTGAGGCCGCGCGTTCATTCGGAGGGCTGGCGCGGTGCCCGCTCCCTTTGTTAGCGGTGGGGTGGGTAGGGGCTCCTCCGGGCAGCACCGGGCTTATCCTGTACAGCGAACCAGCTTGCCCTTCTCAGAGCTCCTCCTCCTCCAGGATCTGCCGCTGCCCTGGTCCAACCAGGTGGACCAGCCTCAGTCCCCCTTCTGCCTCCACGCACACACCTCTCACCCCGGAGCCTTCCGACTCCCAGTTAAACCTTTCAGCTCCCCAATGGAAGCACTCTTAAAACTGCACTTCTGGGCTTTATGACTGACTGCACACAGCTCGCCCTTTCCCGAGCTGAAGAAGAGATTCTTTGTGTTAGAATGCCGAAAGGCAAGATCACCGACTTCTACAGGCTGGGGAAACTGTCCCGCGCCGGCTTGGTCTCTACAGCATCAATTGCTAGTCTTTGGAATGCGCTTGCCTCGTGGAATTGCATCTAGGATCATGTAGAGATCACATCAAGACCCAAAGCAGAGTAAAACATGGTGCAGCCACTCATGGACGAGGGCTGGCCCTCCTTTTGTTAAACTTTTTTTTCTTCAAGCATTAAGAAAGAACGAGATAAGTGGCCCTTAATCTGCCTTGCTTTCAATCCTGTCGTAAGCGCGCCTTCTCTCACACTTCAGACAAGCCGAGATTGGGCACGTTCAGGGTGGCAGGGCAGTAGACAAGGTTTCTTGGATTTCAAAGCAAGCCTGTACTGAGGGATCTGGCTTGATAGCCACCAAACTGTCTTAGTTTTTCCAAGCAGGAATAGGTGTGATTTATTAGGAAGGTAGTACTTCACTGACTATTCTTTTGATGCTTTTGAGACAGGGTCTCACTGTGTAGCCCAGGCTGGCCTCCAACTCAACATTCTTCTGCCTCAGCCTCCTGAGTACTAGGATTATAGGCATGTGCCACCACACCTAACCAGACCATTCCTTTGTTTAATTTTACACTGAGGCTTATTATTAGACAAACTGGAGCAATTGGGGAAAATAGCCTGGCAACTGCATGACCTTGGGCAAGTACTTAACACTTACTGCTGCCTACCCATCCTCACATGAGTGAGGATCCTGGAGGGAACGATACCCTGTGTTCTAGGATGAACATCCTGTGGTTTGCTGGTGACTGTGGCTATGCTATAAACCTAAATACCAGGCACGTTTAAGACCTTAAAGGAAAGCAATGAGATGATGTTGTTCTTTCTAAAGGGCATTCAGAGTTGGGGTGGTGATGCACTCCTTTAATCCCAGCATCCAAGAGGCAGAGGCAGGCAGATCTCTGAGTTTTAGCCTAGCCTGATCTACTTAGTAAATTCCAGGCCAGCCAAGGCTACATAGTGAGACCTTGTTTCAGAATACAAAAACCAGGAGCATCCAGAATAGGTCTGGAGGGAAAATTCCCTGAAGTAAATGCCTTAACAATGTTCAATTTCTTTAGTATGGGCAGGTTCAATGAACTGGAAAAAATATCTGAGTATTCTAGATGTTTAAACAAAACCTGTCCACCTGCCACAGGAAGAGAACCAGGGCGTGGGGGTGGAGGTAATTCCTGTTTAACAAATATTTTCTTTGATAAAATTCTTATTTGTGGGAAAGGAGTTTTACAAACTAGGCAAAGAAACAAAAATAAAACACTAGAATGGAAAAAAAAAGTCAGTGGTGGGCCTTCAAGGAGGAGAATGAGTAATTGGGACTTTTATTGTCATTTTGTCCCTCTAATTTTGTATGTCCTATATAGTTTTGTTGATATCCCCACACTCCTTTTCCCTAGAGGGGAAGAGGATGAGGATCATTGCTCCCTAGCAATAGGAAAGGAACTCCCTGCACAATTCAGATCTTCAATGTAGCATGTACTTAGGATCTCGTGAAGAGTCACACACCAAACATTCCAACAAGTCACTCAGTAAATATTTGTTAAATGGTTAAGTGCTAGGAATTCAAACTACAGAAGATCCTTCAGACCAAAGTTGCCTGGCAGGGCTTCCTGGCAGAGGAAGAAACAGAACTGGGCCTAGAGGGGTGTCGAGGGGTGAGGGAAAGGAGGGAAGACGTAGACAAGTGAGACATAGTGGGAAGGTAGGCTGTTTCAATGGCATAAAAGGAGAAACACTGCAAATGGTGAGACCAGATTATAGAAGGCTTTGTAATCACTTGATTCACACTAGTAATTATTTAATTGATCATTTGCAGTTATTTGATGTCAAAGGTGTTTGCCATAAGGGCGGGGACCAGTCTGTCTGGTTCCTCACAGGGTTCCAAGCATCTCAGAATGCCTGGCACACCGTCCACCTCTTGGGACAGTCACACCTGATGACTGACTTGGCTAAAAGCCTAGGAAGTCTGGGTTTTGTTTAGCACATAAAAGGTTATCATGGGGCTGGGGAGATGGCTCAGTGGATAAGAGCGCTTGCTCTGTAAGCGTGAGAACCCGAGTTCAAATCCTTAGCACTTGTACAAAAAGCCAGACATAGCTGTGTGTGTCTGTAACCCCAGCAACGGGAGTTAGACAGGTGGATCCTGAGATCTCACCAACTAAATCAGAGAGTTTAGAGGAAGACACCCAAAGCGCTCAAGCCTCCACATCCACAAGCATGGCTGAGTGCACACAGGTTCTAAGCAGGGCTGTAAGGTGAGCAAATATTACCTTTATAAGGACGGCATGAATGAAGAGTGGAGGAAGTGCTGAAGATGGGATTTGAGGAGGGATATAACAACACAGAATGCCACATGTAGCTGTGGCAGAAAAAAAATAGAAAATAAAAGAAAGGCAGGTTCTAAGAGATTCAGAATCCAGTGGGGTGACTGGGTTTGTGCCACCCAGGTTCCTCCACAGGGGGCTAGTAAACGTTGCCCAGAAAAGAAACATTTCCAGCACTTCTCTGAAAAGAATAGCACCAAGCACAGAGAAGATAGCACTCAGTGATACAGCTGACATTCAACTTAGAGCCTGCAGTATCTTCACTGTATCCTTGAAAAGAAAAATTGGTGCTGGAGAGATGGCTCAGCAGTTAAGAACACTTGCTGTTCTTCCAGAGGACCCAGGTTTGATTCCCAGCACCCACATGATGGCTAACAACCATCCATAACTCCAGTTCCAGGGGATATGACACCCTCTCTGGCCTCTGTAGGCATTGCACACACACACAGTGCAGGCATAACACTCATGCACATAAAATAAAAATAATAAAATATATTTAAAAATTGAGTTTGGGGATTGAAGAGATGGCTCAGCAGTCAAGAACACTGAATGTTCTTGCAGAAGACCCGGGTTTGAGTCCCAGCACCCACATGGCAGCTAACAACTGTCTGTAACTCCAGTTCTAGGGGATCTGATGCCCTCTTCTGACCTCCACGGGCATTGCACAACACCAGTGCCTTCCATACATGTAGGCAATACACACATACACATAAAAATGATAAATAATTTTTTTAAAAATTGACTTTGTACAAGACAATTTTTGTTGTTTTTATTAGTATTTTTAAATTAATTATACATAATAATAGGTGCCACTATGGCATGTCTTCTGTGTATATATTTTTTATCATTTTCACCCCCTATTACTCTCTGTTCCACCCCCACTCCTGCTGATCCCCTTCATCCCAGCCTGTCTCCTTAGGGTTGCTCACAGGAATATGGATGAAGTATGAGCACCGTACCAGTGACTACCTCGCTGAGGAAAATTATTTATTTATTTTTTTGTGTGTGTATGAGTGTTTTGTTTGCATGTAAGTTGTACAGTGCCCTCAGAGGTCAGAAGAGGGCATCAGATCCCCTGGAACTGGAGTTAAGGATGGTCATTAGCTGCCATGTGGGTGCTGGGAACTGAACCCAGGTCCTCTGCAAGAGCAGTTGTGCTCTTAACCACTGAACCATCTCTCCCACCCCAAAAATGGCAAGATAAGTTTTTGAAGTTGTTTTCTCATTTTGAAATCAGGATAATAATAGAGCCTTCTTTTATGGATGTTTATAGGGTTAAATAAGACAAGTTAAACAACAGTGTGCTATGCTTTTAATCCCAGCATTCAGGAGACTGAGGCAGGCAGGTCTCTGAGAGTTCAAGGTCAGTCTGGTCTACATAAAGAGACACTATCTCAAACAAAAATAAGAATTGAACAAGAAGCATGCTACTCAGCACCCAGTAGCTAATTTCTTTCTCTGTGTACCCTCCTTAAAAACACCTTTTAATTGCACCTTCGAGAACTGTTGTGGCCTCTTGACTGAGCTAACCTAGAGTTTTTCTCAAAAAATGAAAATTAAATTTTAAAATAGGGAAGG